TCCATGCTTTACATCGCTGCTAGAAACATAATTTCACTTATATTTAATAAAATGAGCACAAGAGAATTTACACGACACAGATTATATCCATTTAGCTCACAATTATACTTTTTATATCCCTAAATGGAGGCGTGTGTTAAAAAATGAAAAAATTCCCCTAGTGTGTTTGGGAGAAGAAATAAAACCATCAAACACTTTTCAAGTAACAGAGTCAGATTGCATTTATTGAGACAAAATGTGATCGTGATAGCACGGCCTGATTTGTAAGTGATGTGACATTTCGGTCTTCACCAACTAGCGTTTATCCTGCTTTTTCAGTCTAACCTTCAATTCAACTCTTGTAAGTTACTGGATTAAAAATTGATAAAAAACGCGAAAAAAAGTTTGAAATTAGTGACTCAACAGAAGACAATGAATCCTGAAAAACCAGTTTATAAGAACCTAGCGGCGAAAATCATTTTTTATTTTTTTGTTTATAAGTTGAGTTTGTTTGTTTGAAGATAAACACAAAACTACACAATGGGCTATCTGTGCTCTGCTTACCACGGGTATCGAAACTCGGTTTCTAGCGTTGTAAGATCGCAGACGTACCGCTGTGCCACTGGTGGGCAAAAGTTGAGTTTGTGTTTTACAGTAGATAAGCAAATTACTATCAGAAGTAACAACTAAAACTTAATGTTCTGATGGTAAAGACCTGTCTGTATCTGCAAATAATTCTCTTCTTAGCTAACCAGTGACGTAAGCACTGATTGTACTAAACGCAAAAAATAAATGAATAAAAACAACTAAGAAAGATATGGGGTTTATGGTTAAAGCTTACAAGTTATATAATCTTGTATTACAATGTTTAGTGGAAGATAATTTCCCCCGCTGGAACAGCGGTATATCTACGGACTTACAACGCCAGAACCCCGGGTTCGATTCCCTGCGGTCGACACAGTAGATAGCCAAATGTGGCTTTGTTGTAAAATAAGTAAACAAACAATACAAGTAAATGTCATTTTCAGTTTACAAATAAACCATCCAGCGCCATATATGAATATTTCGTTTTCACTCAATGCATTATTAGTGTCCATCCGTACCAAGTATCTTTAATGTGATACATGAATGTTTAAATTATTTGTGAACATTAGTATCTTTAATGTGATACATGAATGTTTAAATTATTTGTGAACATTAGTATATTTAATGTGATACATGAATGTTTAAATTATTTGTGAACATTAGTATCTTTAGTGTGATACACGAATGTTTAAATCATTTGTAGCGGTGAAACTTAGTTTGGTCTACAGCTCAACTTAAAACTCTGCCACCACTGATAACGTGCTATAAGTCAGGCAGTTATATGGCTGCTACGCTGTTGCAAGGATTCGGCGTTTCATTCTGAGCACATAGCATTTATGTGATTGGTGTAAAACACTTTCTGTTTGACCCTGGTTAATTGTTGTTTCTTGTTTCAGCACAGCACTCTTCCACTGCTAACAACAATACTTGTATAACTAGTTAGCACCAATAACAACTAAAAACTGTTTTACGCATGCCCAAAAAGAAACACTGATAGATCTGTTAAATGGTGAAAATGTTTTCCTTAAGCCAGGCGAACGTAAAATAAAGTGAGTAACAAGATTTCTATGCCCCAGACAACAGAGAGAGACCTCTAGTGATAAGGTGTTTTGCCCACTTGACGTAGTACAATAAAACGAGTCAGGAGCTGTATAAAACACGATTTACGCGATCTATTCGTATCACATCTTTGCAAACGCTTCACGTCTCGGAAAAACTCTATACAACGTAAATACATATGAAACAATGTTGTTTAAAACACTCAATGTGTCATCGGTTTTGCTTTTGTTAACCCTTCTGCAAGTTGAAGCACAGGACAGTGAGAAACAAGAAGAAAATGAAGGTAAATATATATCTTATTCAAACTTTGCAAGTTTAAAACGTAAAACTCTAAATACTAACACTATTTTATGTTTCTTTTAGTAATTTTATATAAGATACTTACATTTGTATCTTATCTCACTTTCATAGGTCAATATTTGTTTTGGGAGGAATTTTTTAACGTTTCTTTTTCGCTTTTAGTTTAGATTCGCTTACAGTTGGTGGACAGCTTGAGTAGCGTCGATAACTTTATACTACATACTAAAGTTTCTAAGTTTAATGACGTATATATATATAGAGGGAGAGAGTGATAAAAGTGTTAAGTTATGACATTAACCAAATGCAGTTGATTTGATAATTGTGAAACCAATAAGGACTATCTTAGATTAGAAGAAGGGTGTGTCTGTCGTTAAATATAAAACAAACCTTTAAAATGTTGTCACGTTTCTTCTTATTTGTTTAAACTGAGTTTGTTTATTCACCCTTTTAAACACAGTACTTGCAAGCAATGTAGTGATTGAAGTTCTAAGTACCGATTATACGGACTATACCAGTAGATGTCGCTTTTATATAAGAAAAATAAAGAATTGAGCTATCTAGTGGCCCAATGAAAGTGTTCTTTTTGTATTACTACCAGTGTCGTTATAACTCTATAGTAAACCCAGATATTTTAAAAGTTAATGTTGAGAAGGAAAACTTGCCTTACCTTAAATATATGTAGGTGCAAACAGATTGTGAAAACACTTCTTTTAATAAGTTAATTTTCTTTAATAGCTAATGTTTGTTTGTTTTGAATTGCTCAAATATGAAGGTACATATATTTGTTTGTTTTTTAGAAGTCAGTCATCCAATACAAAATAAACTCCACCCTTCCAATAAAGAAATTGTTTTGTCCTTCGAAATTTGCCGTTCCAGTGATCAGTATTTTTCGTTTCTATGACTAATGCTTCAATATTATTATCATTATTGTTTTACTACACGTCATATATTTTATGCCCAAATCGGTTTGTCAGGGGCAAGGAGTCTATCGCGCACCTCAAATTGTGGTTAAATTTTATAAACATATTTCTGTATTGTTACATCTGAGAAATATGTACTCACCGTCACTAGAGTATACTTAATAACCATAGTTCTGTGTTGATACACCCAAGAATAATATATTCCTTCACACTTGGTTAAACTTCATAACTACATTTTTGATACACCCAAGAATGATATATTCCTTCACACTGGGTTAAAATTCACAACCATAATTTTGTTTTGATACATCCAAGAATAAAATATCTCCTCATATTGGGTTAAATTGTACAATAATAACTCTGTTTTGATGCAACCAGTATTATACCTTTTTACACTGGTTTAAATGTTACAACCTTAGTATTTCTTCATTGCACCCAAAACAAATATAACCCCTCATTCTGGGTTATATGTTGCAACTATAATATTGTTTTGTTGCAACTAAAAAATATACCTTCCCACACCGAGTTAAATTTTATAACTATAAATCTATTTTGATTCAACCAAAAATATATCTTCTGTTAATGAGTTAAATTTTACAAACGTAATTCAGTTTTGATACAACCAAGTTTATACCTTTTCTTATTGGGTAAAATTTTCCAATTATAGTTCTGTTTTGTTTCAACCAGAAAATATACATTATAATACACTGAGTTAAATTGTGCAACTATAATTCCGTTTTGTTTTAATCAGAAAATATATCTTCTCATATTGAGTTGTATTTTACAACGATAATCCTGTTTTCATACAAGTAAAACAATATATCTTCTCATACTGAGTTGTACTTTACAACGATAATCTTGTTTTCATACAACTAAAACAATATATCTTCTCATACTGAGTTAAGTTTTACAACCATAATCCTTCTCACTTTTCTAATCAACCCCAAAGAATGTAATAACACTGACAACATCACATGTTTAGAGCCATTCAAGATTTATTTAAAACATAAGAATTCTTTTACTGTTATGCTAATTTTAATATTCCCCTACAGCATTTTCTGATATAAAAATCAGATAATGTATTTGTATTATTTGAAGCTGATAACATAGGTAAGCGGGCATCCAATTGTAACAAGGCCCTGGTTTTGAAAGCAACTGTGTAGCTTAGGCTCCTGTTGCTAAGCGACCTCATTCCTTTTGATGAGGCTTAAATATACTGATCTAGTTATTAGACTATGTGAAAAATCAGAGGCCAGTCTTGTTGTTATCAGATCAGGTCAAACTCTAAACAATTAATTCTATTCACAAAGAGATGCCTTAAGTTCTAAAAAAAAAGAAAAAAAAACTAAAATGTTACACAAGATTAATCTATGAGTGTAATTTTATTTATTACTAGCTGGACGGAAGTTATTTAAATACATGATTGATGAAAGGTTATCTTAGGACATGAAAAGTTGCTTACCTTATATGTAATTGTAAAAAAAAACGCCCATAAAAACCGCAAGACGCAAAACTGAAAATTTGTTTGTATCTCCCCATGGACCCAGTGAACCTTCAGACCAACTCTGGTGAAGATCCATCCAAAAGAGGTGCGTTAGTGGTAAAAAACGCTAAAAGGCAAAAATGCCCAGGAAAACTGCAATATGCAAAACTGAAAATTTATGTGTATCTCTGCATGGACCCAACAAACCTTTATGCTAAATTTGGTGGAGATCCATCTACAGGGGACGAAGTACTGGTAGAAAAACGCCCATAAAAACCACAAAATGCAAAGCTGAAAATTTTTATGTACCCCCGCATGGACCTAATGAACCTCCATACCAATTTTGGTGTGGATCCACAACCTGCGAAGTAGTTCTATGGACGTACAACAGACAGTACTATTATATTTATATGGATTATTATATCATTTATTACAATCATCATTGTCATTGTTTCCAAATAGATTAATTTGTATTAGAGCTTAGTATAATGATTTAGACCTAGCTTAAAGCTGCTAAGTAAATCGAATCTCATTAGGTGTTGTCGAATATACTAATTGATAACACAATTAACGTAACCAACTAATGTATAGAGTAAATGCAATGTTAGTCAAGGTATAATTGTATGAACTTTTACACTTAACTTTATCGTTCTCTACTAAACAACTTTAATTATGTTTTGCTTATATTAGATAATTTTTGTAAGCAACTATAAAATGAAATTAATATCATAATTTCCTGGTAGCTTATTTTAACGCAAATTTACACAATGGACTATCTACGCTCTGTCCTCTCCGAGTATTCGAACCCCAGATTTTTATCTTGTAACTTCGTTAAACTTACCGTTGACCAATCGGGGGAAATATCATATAGACCTAGGCCTAAATAAAAGATACTTGTAGGTTTAAAGTGGGTATATTATATTTTATATCTACGATTGACGTTAGACTATCTAACATTAAGTTTCTTCTTTTAATTATACTTACTTTTATCGTATTCCTTGTTTTTGCTCGAATGCAATTTATCTAGATATATATATATATTAAGTATATCTGTGAATACGTAGATTAATAAGTTACTTTAGTTCAGAAGTAATTAGGAATTACCTTACTTCAAGTTAGATCTGTTTTTTCTGATAATATAGTGCTAGTTTGGCTCATTCATAAACAAAATATGGGTTAATATGAAAATATGACTTATGATTGATAAAGTTATTTACTAATTACATTGTTCAACTTTATTAATAATGTTAAACTAGTTCTGAAAAGTTTTTAACGTTCATCGTCAATCAAGCATATTGATGATGCTACTTACAACACTGCCCCCTTCCTGGATTTTGAAGTCCCTTGAACAATCCTAATATAAGAAGAAATCATCACACTGAACTGTCTATTCACAAACCCTTTTTTTTTGGTGGTCTTCTTTTTCGAGGGTTGTAGTATACTGATGGGATGACTTCTTGTCTCTTGCCACTTGCTGTCCTGTCACTGGGAAAGTTATCCTTCGCAGGTGGTAGAACAAATCCACTGACAGCTCTATCCTTGATGATCCTCTCACATTGATCTAAACAGGAACTCTGGACTCTTCTGCGGGTTGATTTTCCACGGGCAAATTCTTCTTTCAAATTACCCAACTTGCCATTCTTTCACCGATCTACTTCCAATGATGGTCATGGTAAGTGATTTTTGGCTTGGACTGCCCATCTTTCTGGATTCTGTAAATCACATCAATGATTCTTTTCAATACAACATATGGCCTTTCCCAACTCCTTCTTAACTCTGGAGTTCCTCCTTTCTTGTATCAAGAGTTGGATAGCCATACCATGACACCTCTTTGAAATTCAGCATTATAAGAATTAATATCATAGCGACTTTTCATGTTATCAGAAGCTGATTTAAATCCTCCTCGGGAATAATTATGTATGACATATTTATTCTTCAAGTGCATGACAGTTCTTCCAATCATTAATCCCTCAGGACATGCCAGTGTGTTTAATTCCACTATGCCTCAGTCAATAGATGAGGATTTATTTTTAATAACTCCTTGTAATAGTATTTTACTTCCTCGTGGTAGAGTTTCTGCCCTCTCTGCTGTCACTGGAAATTCAACCTCCGGTGTAGTAATTGCCATGCAGTGTACCTGGTCATAGATTGTAAAGCAATCTAAAGCTAGCCTAACCTCGCACCTATGTCTCTGCATGAATTCAGTTCCCAATATGCACTCTTCCTTAATGTCAATTACCCACACATCGTGAGGTGTAGACAAGTTTCTTACAGTAAGGGTAACTTCCAACTACCCTCTTGCTGGAACTTTTTGTAAACTTTCTGTTCACTACAATCCCTCTTTATTTTCGTCATCTCTGAAAGAAATTTCCAACTTTCATTGCCAAATTAGGTTGAACAACTGTATCTGTAAAACCAGTGTCGACAAACATACTGCAAGATTCCCCATCAATATAGCCATGAACTTGTGAATAAGTTTCCTTACATAATGAACTTTTTATCTTATTTGGTACAGATGGAATATTATCAGTTGAATTTTACCTCTTAATACCAACTAATTCCTGTTTCCTTCATGTCTGA